GTTAAATAAGGAAGGGAAAGTGTAGAGTAAGGAGGGGGTTAAATAAGGAAGGGAAAGTGTAGAGTAAGGAGAGAGTTAAATAAGGAAGGGAAAGTGTAGAGTAAGGAGAGAGTTAAATAAGGAAGGGAACGTGTAGAGTAAGGAGGGAGTTAAATTAGGAAGGGAAAGTGTAGAGTAAGGAGGGAGTTAAATAAGGAAGGGAAAGTGTAGAGTAAGGAGGGAGTTAAATAAGGAAGGGAAAGTGTAGAAGTAAGAAAGAGAATTAAATAAGGAAAGGAAAGTGTAGAGTAAGGAGGGAGTTAAATAAAAAAGAGAAAAGTGTAGAAGTAAGAAAGAGAATTAAATAAGGAACTGGAAGTACAGAGTAAGTATCATTCCTTTCAATAAAACAAAAGACTTTTTGTTGAAACATTAAATTTAAAGAAAGAATTTTAATACTTAATAATATGTATCTTCCCATACTATTTGTAGGTTTCTATATATAAACTTTATCTCTTAGTATAAGATTTTTATTCCATACTCTTAGCAGAAAACTAATCGTTTTACAATTTAGGAAATGTTTAAAACAGCATAATTGAACTTAAAGGAAGGTTTGTATACATATAATAAAATGGATACTACTTTAGTCTTGGAAAACATTTTCTAACCGACAGTTTAAATTTGAAGTTTAGATTACATTTAGAAAAAATAATAGGATTTTTTAATACGGTAGATTATTTGAACAACGACATTTCCAAAATAATAAGTGATGCTTTCTATCATTTCCAAAGTGACTCTTTAAATAATCAAGTCAAGTATAGACTGAAACACTCCGAAAATTGGATGGACTTACCCTTTTACAGTAAAATTAAAAATTCAATGCCGTTATAATAGGGTCAAAAAACATTAATAATGTCTCCCTTCCGGTAAAATTTGATTTAACGATCTTGAAAAATCAACATATTCAATCGAACTTATTTTTGAAGTTTATCGGGAAGTTTATGAACTCACCTAGATAAATAAACTTATAGATACTTTGAACAAAGTCATTATAAAAAGAATAAGCGATGCTATTTAACATTTCCAAAGTCAATCTTTAAGTATACGGATTCTATTATGGTTTAGACATGATAGAATGTGCAGTAAACTTATGTGATAAGGATGTGATGAATACGAATTAATGAAATTCATTGCGAAATTTTTTCTTTACACATAACACTTGCTGATTTTGCAGTACTTTTATGGATTTTCTAGTTAAAAGCTGTTTCATCTAAACTCCGTATACCAACTGTTATCTTCTAAAGATAAAAAATAAAAATTGAAGATTAAGTATATTATATTATTAAGTTTTTATTTTATCATATAATACGAGTATATGTAATATTAGAAATATACTTATGCTATATAGAAGACTATATATAGAACCAGCTGGAAAACCCGGCGTTGTCCAGTTTTATAAGTTGAAAGTTTCCTCAAACAAAATTTTAGCCGATTTGGTTTGGCTGCTTCTCGAATTTTGAAAAAAAAAGTTAATTCAGACTATTTACAGAGATTCAGGTGGGCATTACAATTTCCTTTAAATTGAGTATCCTTATTTTTGTTGATAAATCTTGTAGCTGAACCTACTAACATGAGCTCTGAACTGAATCACAGCTTTCAAAATTTAAGATCTTTGATCTACTCTAGATGAAAATGTACAACTGTGCAAGGTTACGACATCAAATAGACTTAATTAATGCTTTAAGGTCGTCTTCCATTTCCACGGTTTCCAGGTTATCACTGTATCTATCAATTTAATATTATAAATTTTTAAGGATATAGACAAGAGTTGCATTTAATGAAATTTTTAGGATGAAATTTTAAGGTATGATATTATTAGATTGTGGACAGAAAATAATTATCTTAGACTGTATTAAGAAATATTACTTTATAAAGTATTTATATCTCTATATTTTTCTATACTCCTATCTGTTTGAATATAACTTTTATTTTAAGATTCAGGTAGAAGTTGCTTTTAACATATATTTTTTAGGAATATAAGAATTTGGAGAAAAAATTTTATCTTTGATTTCATCTAATATATCTAATAATAAAGCTCTTTGCTCATTTATATCAATATATAGTTTTATGTCAGCTATAGCTGGCTAAACGGCTGGATTTTATTTTTCAAAATTAGATTTATTTTTATTTTACGGGCATCAACGGACACTTCAGATGGTTATTATTATTATTGACTGGCATGAAGGGCCCGGCGCTGCCCGTCAAATTTTGAAAAAAATCGATTTTTGAAAAAAAACCTTGCAGCCTATGTTTCATAAAAAAATCAGCCAATTTGGTTAAACCGTTTGGCCAGCTATAGCTAACATATATACAAATAACTATTTTTATATGTGAGCAAAGAGCTTTGTTAAATATGCATGGATAGAAGATATGGAAAAGAAAATTTATGTTTATGTAATGTTTTTAATTAATGTATTTATTTTTGTTGAATCTCTTTTTAAAAGAG